AGCTCTACAACCCTGTGCATGTCGGTACCTACCTGGAATCCTCATCCTCGTTCTCCTCTCTTGTGATTTGTGGTGACTTTTTCTATGACTTCTAGGACTTTCAGCTTTCAGAAGATAAAATACCATTGCTGTCTTCTTATAAATGCAAAGAAGTTTATTGTGTCGGTGCTGAATGAGCTTGCTCGCATTTCACACGCAAGTCAAACTTGCCATGTTTGGGTCTGTAACAAACAAATAAAAACCTTTTGGATTTGCCTTGTTCTTTTCTCTTTCCTTAGCAACTCCTCCTTTATTTATCCCTGCCCACCTCTCCCACCCTTTGATCAGTTTTCCCTCTGTTCCAGCACCTTCCTGGGCTGCTTTTCAGCTTGTTGTTTCTATCGTATTTGTAGGAGTTTCTCTTCCTTTCGTAGACGTTTCTTTTCTCACGTTGCCTGCATGGCAAAATTGTCAACAGCGGTTTATATGACATAGAAATATAGATGTGACCCTTGAAATCAATAGAATTGCCACTAACCTATATGTTATCCGTATAGCATTGCAATTGTGCTGAACTGAGCTTTTCTGGTTTTTTAATACTGGTAGTGGTATATATGTTGTTGACACTAATATTGTGCAAGCTGTGATTAGTTCCTTGGATCATCAGTTACCCAGAATCACGGAATCACAGAATCACTGAATGTTAGGGACTGGAAGGGACCTCGAAAGATCATCTAGTCCAATCCCCCCGCCGGAGCAGGAACACCGAGACGATGTTACACAGGAAGGCATCCAGGCGGGTTTTGAATGTCTCCAGAGAAGGAGACTCCACCACCTCCCTGGGCAGCCTGTGCCAGGGCTCTGTTACCCTTACTGAGAAGAAGTTTCTTCTCAAATTTAGGTGGAACCTCTTCTGTTCCAGTTTAAACCCATTACCCCTCGTCCTACCATCGGTTGTCACTGAGAAGAGCCTTGCTCCATCCTCGTGACACTCACCCCTTACATATTTATAAACATTCATTAGGTCACCCCTCAGTCTCCTCCAAACTAAAGAGACCCAGTTATTCAAAGTGACCTACTGAGGACTAGCTGTCATGTGATGGGGAACTTGTCTTTCAATCCGTAGTTGGAATCAGTTAAATAAAGAGATATTTTAGTACATGTTTTCCTAATACAGCTTTTCAATGTGAGAAGTTACTCTCATTACTCCAAAAAGAGAGAAGATTTGCGTTACTGCGCGTTGAAAAGAAATAATTTGAGAGACAGTGCATGTAGACAAGAAACAAACCTTTCTTCAGACTGTTTGGATAAGACGTTACGCACATTATCACCATGGACCAATTAGCAGATGGTGCCTTTTGTATGCAGTAATTAATTTTATTTTGTTTCCAGTATATTTTATAATATGCCATGCTGAGTACACCACAAAGCAGTGCTGCTAAAGAGCACTACTCCTGTGCTGTGCACGGAAGTGATACTATGTCCTCCTGCACAGGCGACTTCTGTCTCGTGGAGAGGCCCTGGATACACTAATGCTGACATTCAAGTTGAGCTGATCGAGTCCCTTGAAAAGGCTATCTCTTCTTCTCAATTCCAGCTGCCAAAGTTCATAGCAAAAGCTTAAGCAGTGACCTATAAAACAAAGATGTGAAAAGGATATAAAGGACTTTGCCAATAGACCTGATAGTAGGCACAATTTCTGCAGTTACTACAGAATGATGTGTCTTCAGTCTGTGACACACGTAATGGTGGATAAATGTGGATTCGTTTCTGAAAAAAAAAAAATTATTCTGCCTCTTCTGGGAAACTGTTCATTCCAGAAAATGCAGAGGGGGAATATTTATAGAAGGTGAGAAAATATTCTGGGTTCCATGCAGAGTGAATAATGAATAACTCAGTCAAGTATAAATGACTTAAAAGGAAAATGTCTACGAAGAGATAAGCTACCTGGTACATTTTTTCTGGTAGGCAGTAAATCAGCAAGGTACATGCCAAAGATAAACTTTCACTCCAAAATTATTCTAAATTGGGATCTTAAAAATTTGCCCTTGAAAATGGAGTTTGTCCAGTTTGTAAGTTCTAGACTTCAGATTAAAAAAAAATGTTGCAAGTATTCCCTCACCGGGCTGCCTTTGTTCTGTTTTACTGCTGTTTGGATACGTTGTCATCACTTGTAATCTGGTGAAGTAATTTTTGAAATCTTGGTTTAAAATTAGGTATTTTACAATTCCCACATATCATCATAAATCACGAATGTTTGGTTTTATGTTTCATTGCAGCGGAAAACAGATGTGCCACTTCAAATGCAGTAACATGCACAAAGTGTCTTGCTTTGGGTCCAGAGTGTGGATGGTGTGCACAAGAGGTATGGCATCTTGCTTATTTATGTTTGACTTTATATTTTAGCTGCTTCTGATCTTTATAAAGATAAAAGACTTTTAAACTGTGAAAATTATCGTGAGAAATAGCAAGAAAATCTTTAAATGATCCCCGGAGACAGAACCTGAGAAATCTTGTGAAATATATTCTGTTTCCAAAGGAGAAAATACAGTCTTTTATTTGGAAAATTGCAGTAATTTTAAATAAAGTGAGAACTTTTTAATGCATTCCATCTGCTTCGTAGGCAGCTTTGGCAGACTTACAGTAGCTTTGGGAGTTCAACAGTTTTTGGATTCAAAAGCAAAATTACTTATCAGTAATTTATATCAGGTCCTCATTACATATCAGAGCAAGTCTATACATATATGCCTGTTGCATTTAGCAAAAGGTTTTACTAACAGTGGAGTTAACTTTGACTTCAACCATGTGTTATGACCCTGTCACAAACGAAAAACATTATATTTTTCTTATTTTGACAGTTGAAATCATCAGTTCTGAGACTTATCACAGAAGGTAGATATTAGGTAGCACGAACTATTCTGAAATTGTCATTGCTTTGCTGACTGTAAGAATATGTGTCTTTCTGGGGTTTTTTTGACAGATAAAACCAATTGATTACATGGTTTTGAGTAGGGCTGGGCCATTTTAAGCACTTCAGAGAAACAAGGTTTTGAGGAATATGGAATTGTAGAATCATAGAGTGTTCAGAGTTGGAAGGGACCTCTAGAGATCATCCAGTCCAACCCCCCTGCCAGAGCAGGATCCCCCAGGGCAGCCACACAGGAACGTGTCCAGGTGGATTTGAAAGTCTCCAGAGCAGGAGACTCCACACCCTCTCTGGGCAGCCTGGGCCAGGGCTCCGGCACCCTCACAGGGAAGAAGTTTCTCCTCATGTTGAGGCAGAACTTCCTATGTTCTAACTTAAACCCATTATTTCTTGTTCTGTTGCTGGGCACCACTGAGAAGAGATTGTCCCCTTCCTCTTGACACCCACTGCTTAGATATATATACATATTGATTATTACAAACTCATATACTCTTGAAGGTCACATGCAAATTATCTGCAGTAGCTTTCAGGTTAGCAGAGAAGGTAAATAAGTTCCTAGGGTGTGCCTAGAGGAGATAAGGAATGTAAGGCACTGGTGTAACTTTATCTGAGATACTGTGTCTTGGAATGATTAACTTAGTCTGCAACAAGTATAAGGATAAGTAATGCAAGGGAGGATAGAGGCATGGAGGGCTTGTTTTCCGAGAGGGTCCTTAGGACACGTGTAGGCCACACAGTGGATTACAGTGTCGAGTGGTCCGTTATTGTGGCCTGATGTCCCATCTTACAAAGGACACAGTTTTATCCTTATTAACGTTCATAGAGGGGTGGGTGTCAAGAGGAAGGGGACAATCTCTTCTCAGTGGTGCCCAGCATTAGAACACAGGGAACTTCAGAAAATGCTACAAATCAGTTGTTAATTGTAATGAGAGTAGCTAAGTTCTTTATACATTTTAAAATCTACCTTTTTGAAATGTATATACATCAAAAAGGACATATAAATAGCAGTAACGTAAAAAAGTAGTCTCTGTTGTCTACATTAAAGAAAGTTATGGAAAAAATCTATCAAAGATGGACTATAAAAATGAGTTGGAACTTGGAAAACAAGATACATGGCTGTCAAGTTTCATTCTTCAGGGGCTTTCTCTGGTCTTTTCAGGCTCTGGATGACTATTTATTCTCTAATAGAGAGTTGGCTGTATGCACTTTTCGATTGTTTATTTTCCCCATCTGTCACTGAATTATCAGAGATTGTCCATTGTTTGGTCTCCAGCTGTGGCTGGGATGGACCAATGCTAGGAAAGAGTACAAAGAATCTTGTCTTTTTTTTTCCCTTGCATGATCAGGATCATGTTAATCATCAGACTTGCGGTCAGGGAGGAATTTTGCATTGGATCACGTTGGCACAGTCTTGGCAATTTTGCCCTTTCACTGCAACAAAGAATGTGCTGCTTCTGAGATCATCTTGCTACTAATCACTTTTGTGTTGTTACACGGGCTTTTTTATGGTGGTGGCATCTTAAACTGTCCAGTCCTGTAGTATATAGCTTGTTTTTTCCTGGGGATTGAGATGATATAGTCCAGCTGGGCTTTGGATTTAGTGTATAAGATAAAATTTAAACGTCTGTGATAGAAAAATTCAGGTTAGGTAACTCTAATAAAGCTGACTCCTGCTGCTACTTTTAAATGTTAGCCAGAGTAACCTTACCAGTGGATTCCTCTGGAAACTAGTCTGTTTTGATGTCGTGTGAATGATACTTTCTGGCTGTAACTAACTCATAGCATAGCACAGAAGTTCTTTTGGTGACATAATGACAGTACGTAGTTTCCTTTTTCTCCAAAGTCAGCTTGTTCTGATTGTGCAAGATCCTTTTTCTCATACAAAAGTTCTGTCCTTTGTAGGAAAAAAAAGTAATTGTGTCAATTAGGTTTAACTTTTAATTTAAATATTTTGACATTGCCCTTATTAAAACCACGTGGCTTCCATAAGCTCATTCGACAATTTCTGCAGTTGTAGTAGCATTTTTTATTGTTTCAAAGACTATTACTTTGTTTTGCTCTTTCCTTTGAAGATATTGCAGTTGCTTTCTTTCAGCTCAGATTGTTTTGTCCTTTCTGTCTCTTACAAAACAGGATTTCATGGCCGACGCGACACAGAAGGGACGCTGTGACACTGTTTTCAACTTAATAAAAAGAGGCTGCCAGTCAGATTTTTTAGAAAATCCCATGGATCATGTGACAGTAATCAGTGACCAAGAAACAAATACACAAGTGACACCAGGAAAAGTCTCAGTCCAACTGCGTCCAGGTTGGGTTGTCTCTAACACATTGATACTATAGACAATTTAAACTAAATACAATACAATTAAGTACAAATATTTCATAAAGAAGCAGCTGGAATAATTATTTTGAAAAACAGTGCTATAACATTATACTGTAGGACTATGATGGTGTTGCTCCCATATTCAAGTATGTTCTTCAGCAAGAAGTGTTTTCATTTAACAGGGCTGCAGGTCAGAATAATGCAAGGAATAAATGGAAAAGGGATTTTAGGTAGTCCTTTCTATTTTCTATTCTGGTTTCTTGATTCTTTTTCTTTTAGACACTTACAAAATAGTTTTCCCTTACATGCCTTATTTCTTACTGAAAGTAAACTGAGATAGAATTCCTAAATTCATCATTTGATAAACTTCTTGATTATTTGGTTACTTTTATGTGCACTGACTAGACAACTGTCAAGACACCAAAGCCAGTATATAAGGAAGAACTGAATTCTTAAGGGAGACTTAGGCATTCTCTGCCTACTATTGCATTTCTAAAATGTGAGACACCTGGCCTTCATCTAATCTACAAGTCTCTTTATGCATCTGAGATTTTCTAGTATATCTTTGTTTTCCCTCAGCTGAACTTGAGTTAAATCAGTGCATGTTTTCTGTCTCTAAAATAGCTGTAGCCAACAGGAGAAGTAGAAGTTGATTTAAAGGAATCGGGGTATATTTCATGTCGTAAAATTTAATTTATTTATTTCTTTTGCAAACAATAATCAGAGAAAGAAATATGCCATTTAGGAGGGATTAGCCTTTGTTAGAAAAACATTACACGAACAGGAAAAGTATCTTGCTAATCTTGACTGTATAAAAGATAATTTTCTGTCAATTACAAGGGAAAAAGGAAGGATCTACATGAGTGTAAATCACAAAGGACCTCTGAGTTTCCATCTTTATAATAACAAAACTGAAAAAGTAACATTAGCACTTCTCTCCTTTCCCCACTCTCCTTCCAAAGAAATGACTGATACTCTGCTTTGTGCTAAGAAATGGTCTCAGGAACTGACCTAGGTCTAGAGGTGTCTGTAATCTCATTTATTTCCAAAGGCATACTGGCTTCATTGCAAAAAAACCTTTGAAAATTTGGTTTAATGAACCTTTCTGCCAGTAAATAGTGAAATTAAATTGAGATTCCATATGCTTTGCAGAAGCTCCTGCATCAGTGAGGCAGAAGATTGAAATTCCAAGGCCTCCAGAAAAATAGCTTGATATGCAGACATCTTGCGTGAATTTTATACCACAGGGAAATACACAGATATACAGCTATAGTTTTGCCTCAGAAACAGAAATTTGATACAGTATAATCATGCAGGCAAAGATGTTTTTGTTTTGATACTGGGTTTTTCTGTAAGTGTTTGCATATATCCAACTGTCAGGATTTATGTGGGAAAAAATAAACGCAGCACTCAGCATCTCGGTGTGTGCAAACTGGAGACCTGCAAGGGTCATGTGCAAAAATTCGATTTACATTGGCAAAGAGTAAACGCATAAGTTACCACACACTGAAATTCTGTTTTCTTCGTGCAAGACCTGGTAGAGACAAATCCAAGCTTTTTCAGGTGGATTATGTTCGAAGACCATGGGAAGGAAGAATTTGGCAAGTTTAACTTTCCTGGGTCAGATTTTTTGTTACATGTAGTTCAGTGATGCTATCTAGCAATATTACATGCCCTAGTAAATGTCATTAATAGAGAAGTCACAATTCAGGTGGTTTCTTTTTTAGTGAATCTGGTTCTGAATGTGTTTAGATAGCTTCCACTTAAAGCCTGCATAATTGTTCTGTAATGTCTCCCTTCCTCCTGTCCTTTGCCATATCTTCACTGCATCATAGTCAGTTAGATTCTGCAGTAATCACACAGAGATCCTACTTCCTCATTTATTCTGTGAGCTCACACTTCAGGTGAAGTAAAATAAGGAAAAAGCTGAAGTCATGCATTATTCTACCTACACTGCCCATACTCCAGTCACTTCACTCTTTTTTGCTGGCGTTACGTGTTAGGCAAGCAGAAATATAGGAGTTATTTTTAGTGGCTTCCAAAGCATTAACGTTTTTTATTACATACAAAAATGTCATGTGGTTCTGCATGACAGACATTTGTCATCCTCACATAAGAGTTCTGTTTTGCATACACCAAAAGATGGACTTTTTTTTGTATTAAAACCTCTTTTAAAAAAAATAAGTATTTTCTCCTACTGAGTTTTCTCATTGAATCTTTAGAAGTAGATTGGTAGAAACCTGAAGCATAATTTACGTGACTTGTTTCAGACTGTGCTGTCTTTATGGTACACATGTGGTTTTAGACTCATGACAAACTGTTTGCAGGATACACTTGCATACTTAGAAGCATCAACCTTGAATTGAGTGGACACAATTTGCATGCAGATCTGTGTCCTTTGTGCGTCATAACTGCTTTTTGGTGTAATGCCAAAGGGATTGCATAACCAGGAATTTAAAAGAAAATGAAGAGAAGTCAGATTTTAACAATAAATTGCACAGTGCTCCTGCAAGAAAAAAAACTCAAAATGTTCTACAAAGCCTTTATGGCTTATTTTTGAACAATGCTTCAAGGTTTCATTTACTCTTGGGAGGCTTTCTTGTTTGTTTGTTTTTCTGTTCTCTGACACAAACAACTTTGTGCTGAGGTTGCTGCAAAAGAAATGTATTTTTAAGAGTGTCCATTCAAAAGTAGTAAATAAACTTACTTATTTCCTTTCAATCAGGAAGTGAAGCAAACTTTATGTTAAAGGTTCGTCCTCTAGAGAAATACCCTGTGGATCTTTATTATTTAGTTGATGTCTCAGCCTCTATGCACAACAATATAGAAAAACTAAATTCCGTTGGATTTGCTTTATCTAAAAAGATGGAGAATATTTCTCTTGATTTTCGACTTGGATTTGGATCCTATGTGGATAAAACTGTGTCACCCTATATTAGCATTCATCCAGGTAGAATCCATAATCAGTGCAGGTATGTAGTCTTTGTATATTTACTGTACCACTGTGAAATTACTTAATTACACAAATATGCGCTATGTGTATTTATTTTTAGAGCTCTTCATAGTCTGTCTTTGTTTCATTATACCTTGTGTCTACAGCAAAGTTCCTAAGAAAATATTTAAAATTTAAAATCTTTATTTTTAAAAAAAATTATTAAAAATA